GGGCACCGGTGGCTGGGGGAGGGGCGGCGGCCGACATTTTCATTCAGTTAGGAGAGAGATTAATATATTCAATCCGCTCGGTAATTGAGGGAACAATTGGAGTGTTTTTCTAAAGCCCATAAAACTGCCTCATTGGCAAGGAGGAGCTGACCCGTTCACATCCTCTGCATTTGCTGAAGCACAGGAAAGGAGGAAGGGGTGTGTGTGTGAACACTGGGTCCCAAAGCAGAAGGATTGGGGCATCAGCCTAGGAGGGGGCTAGCAGTCCTGCTCTAACCTGTTCTCACCTTTCCCACCTCTCACCACTTTGTTGGTAGCACTGCCTTCCACAGCCTCCTTTATCCTACCTGTGAAATGGGTCAGGGCATTCCCTTCTGCCAGGAGAGGGGAGGGAGCAGCAGAAGAGGAGGCGATACAAGACTGGAAGCAGATACTCACAAAGAAAGTCAGTCACTAAGGTGAACGGGCCTGAGCAAAGAGGTGCCCAGCTCCCCCAGCCAGTCAAGCGCCCTCCCCCGCCGTGAACCAGGAAAGTAAAGTAACAAAATCCACTTTGTATGCCTTTCCCTGCTTGCACCAGTCCAGTCTCCAGGGCAATAGAAATCATGTATGCAATAGGAAACAATAAAAGACATAATGAATTTAAAAGCTGAGTGAAGAGGGGAGAGGAGGGAAGACCTGGAATGAATGGGTTGGCCCCAAGGAAGGATGCCTGGGACTGGCAGAGTGCAAGAGTGCAGACGGGGAGCTCCAGCCAGACTTGAGTCAGGAGAGAATCTGAGAGGATGGAGGAGTGAGGGAGGGAACAAAGGGAGAGAGACAGAAATGGAGGTTTAGGGACAGGGCAGAGGGGTGCTAGGCAAGCCGTTGACTGGTCCTTTCTCTACCACTTCTCTGTAATGAAAGCCCCCAGCTTGTTGGTGCCAAAGCCAACAATTGGAATCCACAGTCTTAGTGCCCTGTGCTCAGTGTTTGGTGATTGCTTTATAAGCTTTTTCTTCTCCTTTTTCCCCCTGCAGGGTTAAAAAAAAAAAAAAAAGG